GAACTACTGCTTGTGTTCTCTACTAGGAGACTCGAGGCCTGCTCTATGGTTAGGCATTAGAAAGCAGTCCTGTGAATGATGTCTTGCCCTTACAATTCAATAGATGCCGAACCGCGAAGCTCCTAATTTTATATGTCAGCATTTTTCGTAGACTAATGCGACGGACATTTAGTCTTTTATGTCGTTGACTTCACGAGCCATCAAGGTGCGCCCGGGATATCTCTAAACCTTCATTGGACTCCCAAACAGCCGTCAAAATATTGCTGTCCAATAGTGTCACATTAATTACTCAACGACATGGAACCAGGCTTGATGTAGTAAATGAGTGGGCAGGACCCCTGACGAGATGAGCTCATTTAGCCATCAAGGTGCAACTTCGTGTCACGTTTTCCGCCTCATACTACGCTAACACGATTGTACGAAGACTACGACTTGGATCATATAAGAGACTGTGACTAGATAAATCACTATCAAAAAGTTCTGTAGATATTTTCAAGATCTGTGAAGTATAAAATGGTTGCAGACTTTGTCGCCCTTAAGGAGTCTTAATTGGTACTCTCCTGTAGCATAACTGTTAGAATCTCATAGTCAATTAATCCCAATATGGCACCAGGAATATTAGTCGATTCTCCAGTGGGCTCGGAGTATGTCAAGACGGATCGACGTCTGCCTGTCACCTTATTGAGTGGCTTTCTGGGATCAGGAAAAACCACCCTTCTTGAGCACATCTTGACTTCTCCCGATCACGGCCTCCGCATCGGTGTCATCGTCAATGATGTTGGTGCACTCAATATTGATGCCGCTCTACTGTCGACACATGATGTTACTCGCAAAGAAGAGCAAGTTGTTGCCATGCAAAACGGGTGCATTTGTTGCACACTACGCGGAGATCTGCTGGAAGAAGTTGCACGACTAGCAGACGAAGGACAAGTTGAATATTTGGTCATTGAGAGCTCGGGCGTCAGCGAGCCGATGCAGGTCGCTGAAACGTTTTCTGAAGAGTATGTGTGTCTAGAAACCCTTTCAAGAATATGACAGCTTACTCACATGCACAGATTCGCAGAAATGCACATCGCTGCGGGTCATGACCTTGAAGCAGAAAGCGAAGGAGATATCGAAGCAAACAAACGCCTTGCTGCAATACTCAAGGCGGGCGGCTTATCACGAGTTGCTCGTCTCGATACTTGCGTAACTATTGTCGATGCCGTCAATTTCATGCAAGATTTTGCCACAGCCGACTTCCTCGTCGACCGACAAAGTGACGTACCTAAAGAAGACGATAGGAATATATCTGACCTACAGGTAGACCAGATTGAGTTTGCTGACGTTGTCGTCGTAAACAAATGTGATTTAGTATCGAAAGAGGAAGTAAATCGAATAAAGGGGGTAATCAGCAAACTCAACCCCACTGCCAAGTTGCTTGCGACGGTCAAATCTCGACTAGTTCTCAATGAGATTCTTGACACACGAATGTTCTCATACGAAAAGGCTGCATTGAGTGCAGGTTGGCTGAAAAGTCTTTCCGAGGAGGTCACCCCTGAGACAGAAGAGTACGGAATTGGCACTTTTGTATACCGGGCCAGGCGGCCCTTCCACCCTGCAAGATTATGGGAAGTAATCCGATCCGTTTTTGTGGTTATTCAAACTGAATACGAAGAGGGTGGAATGGATCTCGATGAAGAGAATGGCGAGGATAACGAGGGGAGCCAAGGCAACAGCGACGATATGGACATCGATGAGGAGCAGCCTCAACTCAACCCAAAGGCACGACTTGCAGCTAAAATGGCTGACGAAACCTTTGGACCGCTCCTTCGATCCAAAGGCTTTTTATGGTTAGCGACGAGGTCGACATTGGTGAGTGATGATAACATACTGTCTGTTTGATGTTAGGCGCCATCTCTAATTCAAATAGTTTGGCGAATGGTCTCAAGCTGGTGTAATGTTGACGATATCTGGGGGAGATCTTTGGCGCTGTGAGGTTCCAGAAGATGAATGGCCAAAAGACCCAGAAGTCCGGAAGGCGATTACACGCGATTTCGAAGGCAAATGGGGAGATCGACGACAGGAGCTTGTCTTTATAGGTCAACAGATGAGGTCGGGCGGAGAATCGCGCATTCGAAAAGCGCTGGATGCTTGCCTGCTGAATGACGAAGAATTCAAGATCTGGGAAGACACTATGGCATTCGAAAACGCCGAGGACAAGTTAGCCGACCTATTTGAAGATGGATTTGAAGATTGGTTGGATATCAGCCATGATGATCATGACCATAGTCATCCCGAACACAAGCACTAGATATGTCCTTTCTATCCGAACAAACCCATCCACGCAGTAGACGGCTACAACAATAGCTTCCAAAGACAACCGCCATTTGCAAGGGGAACACTCTTGGGACTTACTTATCATTCGTGCCCTGATGAGCTGGGTTGATGTTCAAGGGACGTTATGCACTCTGATTTGATTACCTATATATTGCTTTGATGATCGATCAATCATTTAAATAGACCGGAAAGAATCTACGCTGTCGCTCTGGTCGTCAACTGCCCCTGGAAAAGGGTTTACCGTGAGTATTCTGTAAGTTCGAACGTGAACTCTTCAGACTTTGCAACCACTGCTCATAGACCATCATGTCTGGGCACACTGAAAGCCCCATGTATTGGTAAACGCTTGTCTAGAGACCAGCATAACTTCATCTGTCGCTCGTGTGTGAAGCTGCCACCGCTCAAAGTCTAGGGTTTCGCGTTTCGGGCCATGCACCTCGCCATTACTCGCTCGGAGTCTATCCGATGGCGCTCGGATTGCATGATATATCGATCTCGAGAAAGCTGAACTACAGCCCTCAATCTCTGGAAGACTACGGAGGAACAACAACTTTCAATTAATTGATCACGAAAAGAAAAGTCGCGCAGGAAGCCGAGGGGCTGTGAAAGCATTAATGAATTTGCATGCGGCGCTACTCTGATTTGATGTTTCAGTCTAACAGGGAATGCCTCCCGATGCTGCCACCCGTGATTGGCCTCTACAGCGAACACCAACGCTGGACTCCTGGGAAGGCCTGCATTGTTCCTTCGCGCTGGGGTGGACGAAATAAATCCTACCAGCAAAAGTACATGAATATGAACAAGGTCTACTTGATTATTATCATTGTCCATCGCGAGGTGATTATAAGTTTATTAGTGACAGAGTATCTCGGTTGTAAGATGGGATGATTCCGTACCTGAGTGCATCCAGGCAATAAGACTACATAACAAAACGAAAAGAGGAAATGGCCTCCGACCAAACGAGCATCGGTAATTTTGCGTCGTTCTGGGCGAGCTGTCTCGTTATCAATTAGGTGCTGAACCTACAATTCCCTTCCCCTCGGAGGGAGCTGTTGATGGCCAGCGAGAACAAAGAATTTACCGTCTCGTCGTGTGAATTTAGCCCATTATTCTTGATGCAAGACACGCTGTCCATGCAACGTGAGTCCAAAAAGGCGGCGCCCTCATACATGGCTGCACTGTTACCATGCCACCTCCAACAGATTCGGCGGGGGCGTTCACCAAGAAGCCTATTGTCTGCAGCCAAGCGCAGCGCCCCTCAGATGCTCTGCAGGTACGCGCTGTCTTCGTGCCTCTCACAGTCCACAAAATGAGCTCGAGTGGTTGCAGTGGCGTGGCTGGACCTAACGGTGCACCTGCTTTGTTTGCATGGAATCGGCAAGCCACCGCAGCGCCTGAACCACGCTCGAAATTGTGAGCATCCGGAGTTTCATTTGAAGACCAATTTCCACATCAAGTTATTTCCAGCGCCCTACGAACATAGGACAGCCAGCCACCCTTCCGTGAATGACGCAGATATCGTGGCACTGGCACACCTGGAAATTCTTGTCGGAAACTGCCCCTGTCGATTGAATTGCGAGCTTCCACAGGTCCAGGCCATTCCCTGCTCGGATACGATGCACTCGGGGCCGTCATTGGCGTGCTCCAAGGGCAGCGTAGCATCCCGGGTCTTAACCTGGTCGAAGTTCCAGCTCGATAATACACAGCTGAGTAAGATCGGCGAGTTGAAAGCCCATCTTTCTTTCCTCGATCCAACGGTCATTTGCCATCACACTTGGGGAAACGTGTGTGCCAGCATAGCAATCAACGCGACGGGATTGGCCCTGGCCGCGTGGTGTTGAGATAGGACACATCGAGGTGCTTTAATAGCGCCAGCCACTGCAGTCGACTATTGATGCAGCCCGGCTTAGGCGATCCTTGGCAATCTTGGCTCTAAGCGCCTCCCGCCAACGACCTTGCGCCGCACAAGCCCTTTACCCCTGAGAATTTCCTTATTTTGAATCCTTTGGGCCTCCAATAATTCCATAATCGATCGATTCTCGCGTCTTGATGGGCCCCCACGCGCATCCACCAGACCGTACCAGTGCCCAAGGCCTCGGTCAGCCGCACAATGGGGCAGAGACATGCCATCAATAATGCTGCGATGGACAGCTAGCGAGACCGCAAGCCGTACGCGGTGGGAGACTATCTTTCGGGCTCATCGCCGGGATTCCTTGCCTGCTACGAGCGGCTAGGGCCAGTTCAAACTCGAAACAATAAGCTTAATTCTAGATAGAGACCATTGAGCTTATCCCTAATAGGCTTCCGTTGCGCTAATGCTGTTGACGGGAACTTGCTTGCCACCTCTAATTCGGAAATTCATGGCGTCGATGCGGCGTCTGTAGGCATACTCGGCCGGACTCTCTCACCACAGGAAGCCCCCCTGCTCAAGATCTTCGAGGTCCATAATGTCCATTCTCCCCACGCTCCTTTGTCTTTTTTGACCCTTTTGATTCTGTGTCTCGTTTGCAACTTTGAATTTGTGGAGTCGAGGTTCCTCCTCCTCTTAGTGACCAACCGTTGTCACGTCCATTCGCTCCAGAGACCACACCAGCGACTTTTCTGTCACTGTCAACATGAGGTTCTCTCTGCCTCTTGCAGCTCTGCTGCCAGCGGCTGTCCATTCTTTTAGTACTACAGATATGCTCCAGGATGCCGACGTGTCACAGTCGGGATACCTCCCTAATCATAATATCGACCCCAGCAAGCTGAGCTCATACACCCTGAGCTATTCCAAGACATTCAACACTGCTGAGGTCTTTTACGCCAAGCCTCTCGTCTGGACACCAAGCGGCTCATCGAGCGAGTACGTTATTCTTGTCTCGAATCAGAATGTTGTTCGGGTTCTTGATGGAGCCACTGGAACCACGCTGTATACTCGCAGTCTCGACCCGCCATTCCTATCCGCGGACTCAAGCTGTGGAGACATACCCAATACGATAGGGATCACTGGCAGTCCTATTATCGATTCTGCGACAGATATCATGTATTTCTACTCGAAAGGTTACAAAAATGGCGCCAGCAGCGGTGGCACAATCAATGGTTTGTCTCCTATGTTCACAGTACCCCCTTTCCCTTGTATTGCTACATACATACGTACTCTCTTTATAATCACATGCATGTCAATGCCGTGTATGCCATGTGTCTTCTCAGCAAAACATGGCTGACTCTCTTCAAGGACAATACAAGCTGTATGCCGTCAAGCTTCCGGCCTTGACAGATGTTGCTGGCTTCCCTAAAAGCCTCGAGGGAATAGCTGCGACTAATGATAATACACGGTACTTCATCGGTGGCACAGTCTTGCAGCGACCCGGTCTTGCATTTGTTGGTAATAGCATTGTTGCCGGCTTTGGAGGTGTAAGTCTGTTTCATTACTAGCGCTATCGAAAATCAACCATACTAATTCACCTCAAGCAATGTGACAACTTTAATTACACTGGACTCTTAGTCACAGCTAGCAAGACTACCGGTACGGTGACGAATATGCAAGCGATGGTTGCAAGGCCGGGTGCTCCCTCGCCCCAGCCTACCGATATCCAGGACCAAACAGGTGGCAAAGCTGGTATTTGGCAGTCAGGCATGGGTCTCGCCGTTGACTCAGCTAAAAGCCGTGTGTACTTCGTCACTGGAAACGGACGTGGTCCAGGAGATCTTAAGGGGTCTGCCGGTGTGGCAACGCCGGGCTCAACGAAGATCAGCACACTCGAACAGACTGTGGCACGCTTCTCTGTGGATGGATCGGGATTGCTGACGCAAGAGGATTGGTTCTGTCCGGTTGAGTATGACAACTTAAACGGCAGTGATGGTGACTTTGGCTCGTCTGGTGTTGCGCTTCTTGACCCAGCTACCTTCTCGGGTGGCGGAGTGAACAGGCTTGCTGTTGCCACGGGAAAGAATGGCAAAGTGTACATCATGGATGCCGACAGTCTTGGCGGTTTTAGGATGGGCAGTGGCTCAACAGATGGAGGTCAGTATAAATCGCATGCTTGGGTTGTGCATCGTATTGCTAACACGTAATAGTCATTCAAACTCTCGACTATACCGGAGCCTCATTCTTTGGTGGCATTGGTAGCTATCCCGGTGGTGGAGGCTATATATAGTAAGTCATATCATATAGCAAAGTTTGGTTCAAGCTTCACTGACTATTCAAACAGTTTCATCCCTACCAATGGTTACCTTTATGCCTACAAATTCTCTATTCAAAATGGCAAGCCGAACTTTGCACTAGCTGGCAAGAGTGCCCTCACTTTTGCAGGCAAGTGTGTTCCGACTGTGACGGACTTGAATGGCCAAGCCGGTACTGGTGTGGTCTGGGTTTCGGATGTCAATCAAGGACTGTTAGCGTACAATGCCATTCCTGTAAATGGTGTATTGCAGCTTTACACAACTCCCGCGACGGGACGCCTCTCCAAGTTCCAACGTCCGGCGTTCGGCAACACCCGAGTCTATACGACATCTCAGAATAAGCTGTTTGCTATTGCGCCTCCAGGCACACCGCCGCCGCCCCCGACTGTTTCCAGCGTTTCATCCACGGCCCCGGCCACTACCAGTTCCAAATCGAGCACGAGCTCGACAAAATCGTCGACGCTAAGCTCATCGTCCGTAATCACTAGCACGTCCAAATCCTCGTCATCGAGTCTGGTTTCGACGTCCACTAGCACGTCCAAGGCGTCATCATCGAGTCTAGTTTCGACGTCCACTAGCTCGAGCAAGCCAACGTCAAGTTCCAGCTCATCCGTCGCCACGTCTAAGTCTTCTAGTTCGTCTGTTGTTTCTACAAGCACGTCGAAGGCATCCTCTTCCACTACTCTGGTCACAAGTACTTCAAAATCGTCATCCACTGTGACCCCTAGTAGCTCAAAGAGCTCCTCCGTCGCTTCATCTTCGACTTCCAGCATACCCATTTATGCACCCACCATTCCAGCTGGCAAGCTAAGAACCTATAATTGGAACATAACGTGGGTAAGGGCTGCTCCTGATGGCTTCGCTCGTCCATTCATCGGCATCAACGGACAGTGGCCTTGCCCGTCGATTGAAGTCAACCTAGGAGACGAAATCAAGATCAACGTATGGAACAACCTGGGTAACGAGACGACTGCAATTCATTTCCATGGTTTATTCCAGAAGAATACTACATTTGAGGATGGTCCGGCCATGGTCACGCAATGTCCCATCCCGCCGGGTGAATTCTTTGTCTACCAGTTCAAGGTGCTACAAGCAGGCACGTATTGGTACCACGCTCACGTTGGCGGCCAGTATATTGATGGCTTCCGTGGCCCGCTCATCATCAAAGATACTCAGGCGCCTTACAAGGTTGATCAGGAGGTGACGCTGACGTTGTCGGATCTGTATCATGACGAGGCGCCTTACCTGATCAACTACTTCCTGTCGTCAGACAATACTGACACAACAGGCGGCGCAGAGCCTGTGCCTAATTCAGCACTAATGAACGAGGCTCAGAACGTTAAGTTTTCCATCACTCCAGGAAAGAAGTACTTGTTCCGGATCATCAACATGGGCGCCATCGGGGCACACTACCTTCAGTTTGACCAGCACACAATGACGATCGTGGAGGTTGATGGTGTTTTCGTCCAGCCGTATGATGTGCAACAATTGTTTGTTGGCGTGGCGCAACGATACAGTGTCGTGATACAGGCGAAGGCAGATGCAAGCAAGAACTACGCCATCGTGGCATCGATGGACAGCGACATGTTTGCGTCGTACCTCATGCCCCCAGGAATGAACACCAACGTGACGGGGTGGCTAGTCTACGACTCTGCAAAGGCTCTACCAGCACCTCCAAGCCTTCAGATCCAGCCTTTTGACGACAGCGTGCTGATTCCAGCTGATCAAGTACCCCTAATGGATCCGCCATCACAGACGATCTACCTGACCGCATCGTTTGGTGCCAACGAAGCCGGATCAACTCGCGGTCTATTCAATGGAGTTACCTATGTGCCGCAAAAGGTTCCCACCCTGTACACTGCTCTGACTGCGCCGGCCAACGTGTTGAATGACCCGACGATTTATGGCACCAACAGCATACCATTTGTGCTGCCATACAATTCCATCATTCAGCTTAGCATCAACAACCACGATGACCGCGCGCATCCTTTCCATCTGCACGGTCACAACTTCCAGGTGGTCACTCGTGGCTCCGGCGGGTCAAACTTCCCCGGCTTGTTCGACGCTCGCCCGCTGCCAATGCGCCGAGACACGCTTGTCATCTATGCCGAGAGCAGCGCCGTGATCCGCTTCAGGGCCGATACCCCGGGCATCAACCTATTCCATTGCCATACCGAGTGGCATGTGGAGAGCGGATTGACCGTCACGTTCATTGAGGCGCCGACCGAGCTACAGGCCATGAAGCCGTACATCCCCGTCAGCCACCGCGATGTTTGCGACAAGCATGGTATTCTGAGGAAGGGTAACGCGGCTGGCAACAGCAAGAATTGGCAGGACCTGACCGGGGCAAACACCGAGCCGCCAGCCAGTGAATGGGGGTAAGTTCTATACACCCTGGTCTTAAGATTGAGATAATGTTGAATGCTAATGATGACAATAGCGCTCTTGTCAATCCACCAACTAGCCGATGATTAGCGACATTCACCTTCGCTTCATCTTTCGTTTCTTCTCGGATATTTGGTGGGCGTTGGCTTGGGCGATGCTCGACTTTGCTTGGTGCGCAACAGCCCGTTACGGATTTGCTTCAGTTAAAATATAAATTGGATAATGGCGTCTTAAGTTTACAAACGAGGAAGCGTGCCAGCGCAGGGTTAGATAGGTCCGGGGCTTATGGTTATTAGGTTTAGTATAGACACGATCAATTAGCACATGACAAGACTTCATTTCGAATGTTGATACACAATAAATATACGTACTTTTGGGGGGTAAATCTCATCTGTTAACTTCAGGTTTCAGTATGGTGAACACGATACCCCGGCTGTGATTCAAGGTTCCCGGATCATTTCGTCATATTAAGATGAGTCTCAAGGCAATAACATCCATTATATATATCGAGCTTTATTATTCATAAAGACGATATGATGAATTTGGTGGATATCTTGTGTTACTTCACGCCTTCCTCCAAAACTCCTGAAAGTATCTCTGCCCCGTTGCCAGGCCAAGCTACGATGCTATCTTCCTTGATTCGTCAAGTAAATGCAATATTAGACACGCGGCCAGTGCCGCATTAAGTTAACCTTCTAATTACAAAATTACCGGATCTCATTCAAGTCATCCTCTCGTATCTTAGCCCGGTAGTTCTGCTACTGGCGTCAGTACATCCGGTCGTGCGTGGTGTTGCCTGCCGGGTGTGCTATCCGGTGTCATCGCCGACACAGCTGACCCGCGCTTCGACTCCAGCTCCATTTGCTCGCTAAGAGATATTGGTGTGTCGTTCGTTGCCAACTCGGAGCGCATCGACCACGGCCGCGCAGCCCTGGGCTCCAGCTCGGAGATGGCTGGGGTTGCGGGGGTTTGCGGCGTGCCGCCGCTCGGAGGGATGCCTGACGTCCCAGAATCGTGCTGATCCAACTTGGGTTCGCCGTCGTCCAGCTCGGCTGCGGCCGCTTCCTTACGCTGGCGTCGACGGCGCTGGAGGAACAAGAATGCTACGACCCCAAGAAGGAGAAGGCAACCTGCTGCGGCGCCGATACCAATGCCGGCTTTTGCCCCGGTCGAGAGGCCTGCTGAACTATCGCCCGTGGAAGAAGCTGTTGCCGACGCGGATGTCGCCGTGGGAATAGAGCTCAATGTTGGGGATGATGATGCCGATGTTGAACTCGAAGATGTCGTGGACAGTGATGATGTGCTTGTTGGGGCTGTGGGGAAATGGCCGCTGGCCCAGGCGATTGTCTCGCCAGTCGCCGTCGGCAGAGAGGCGATGTTCTCTAGAATGGAATTATCTGTGAAAGCAACCGTTCGTGATGTTGACGGACACCAACACGGATCGGGACTGGTAATTGTCTTTTCCTCGGCTTCCTGTTGGCATGCGTACCATTCGAAGCTCGTTCCGTTGCAATAAACTAAGCCTGTCCATGGTGTATCTACAACCGGTAAGCAATGGATCATGAAGCAATACGGCGCCATCGCGGACTGACCTTCAAATGCGCCCTTGTCGGGGCAGCTCTCATCCTGATAATCAGGGTCGCTACAACCCGAAAGATAGGTCACCTCGTATTCAATGTTATAGCAGGCATTGCTTCCAAGGCAATTGTCGCCTTTTTGGCAGCAGGAGACATGTCCATAAAAGTCGTTGCCGCAGGGTATAAACTCGGAGGACGCCTCGATGCCCGGGGCGATATAGCAGGTGCCGTTGCTGATATAAATGTTCGGATCGGGCATGACTGAGTTTTTGAGTGAGGCAAAGGCTTCAATAAGCCGTCCGCGCGAAACCCTCTTCTTAGGGAATCTAGTGAATTTAGTGAGGCCAGTCTGTAGGTGGAGGTGGGCGCGCGAGAATCGCAAGCTGGTGGTGAGGCAAGGTGAGTGCGCGACCGCACACTAAACCTGCTGCAGCTTCAGTGTTTGGTAGTTGGATGAGGAAAGAGTGATGCGCAGGAGAAATTCCCTCCAACCGTTGCCCCAAGGAGGAGAAAATGGACTTGTTTGCTAGCTGTCGGTGGAACATCCATCCATTCCGCCTTGCTCTTCTTTTCTGGGAAGTTCAGATCGAATGCCATCTGGGTACAGGGAAGTTCACGTCCAACGCCCGTATTTCAGGGCCGAGATACAAGGTACTGTGTATATCGGCTTTCCATGGAAGCTGTGTACAGCATGCGTAAAAGACAGTGTGGGCTGTCCGTGCACTGTACGCATTCGCTGGCAACGCTAACAGCTGGAGGGGCTGAACTCAGTGGGCTTCAGTGAACGTTTTCTCTACGGGAGCCCTCTCTTTGAGCACCTGTTACACATTTGGACTCAATCGAGACCGACTTGGATGATATGAACAGTTATTTTCAACTATTTTTTAGTTCATTGCTCATACCTTTGCGCGGTTTTCCAATCCACAGGACTACCTATAGCCATTGCTTATTTCCATGTTGTGAGACGAAGCTACCACCGTGCCCAGATTCGAGACTCGCCGAGTTAATGACGGTTAGCATTAGCTTGACAGACTCTGCTGGGGTGATGCGACCATGGAAATGAGGCGCATAACGAGCGAATTTTGCTCCTAGGGCCATAGCATTTTTTATTTGCTCTTCGGTCACTTTTAAGGGTGTTAATACGGTATTACAAGAGAAATGTCGCGGGACTTAGCTCTTACAGTTCTTGTCCTGTCCCACTTCGACAGCTCCTGGAGCAATGCTTAGGAACAAAACACCCTTTTCTGCATACTCAGCGCTGAACTTTGCCACGGCCGTGTTCATGGCTGCCTTGCTGATTGTGTATGGGCCGGCAACATCAATGCCATATCCTGTCGTAAGGTCGTTGTCTGCGAATCCCGACGTAAGGCTGATTACTTTCTTAACGCGGCCCTTCATGATGAGCGGCGTGTAGAGATTGAACAGATGGATATTTCCTATGACGTTAATGCGAAAGCATTCCAAGAGATCCTCCTCGAGTCTCTGATGATCATTGCCCCTATTTACATCAAAGTATTCGGTCAGAAGTCTGGGTCGACAATTTGAGAGACGCAGGGACAAGATACGTACAAGCTGCCCAGGCCATGATAAGCAGACCAACCAGAAATAAAGCCTGCGTTGGCAATAAGATAGTCGAGCGATCCGTTGACGATCGCGGAGACTTCATCCACAGATTTCTTTTTTTTCGCATAAGCATCTGATCTGGTAATGGTGACGCTCAACTTTTACCTTTAACGCATCGTAATCCGTGATATCAGCCTGGATGATATGAACATTGGATCGACTCCCTAACTCCTCGTTGATCTTCTTTTCGGTCGCGGCCTTGTCACGGACAAGACCGATGATAGTATTGGCCGAGTCTGCAGAGATTTGATTGAGGAACTCGAACTGAATAGTAGTCAGTCCATCAGCTCGGGAAGAAGTTCGCTGGCCAAAGCACTTACTCCAATACCTCGCGACACACCTGTAATGACATATGACGACATGATTAGAAAAGATCAGGACCAAGTGTTGATGAAAGAGTTATTACAGATTTTAAGAGGATGTGTTTTTAATCCAACCCATTCCACTTCGATTTCAAGCGGCTCGCCGTCCTCTTGTATATTTGCAAAATGAAACTCAACTGGATGACAAAAAGAAGCTTCATTGAAAGATATTTGAAGTACCTAGTACTTGAAATATTGCAGTCGCTCTAGAGAGCAAAGCAAATGTCGACGCTATCACCACTGTTGTTCGAGTCACGAGTACATGATGCCTCCAGTACGTTAGTCGGGTGTAAGTGGTGTATCATTACTAATACAGGGAATAGCCCCACAAATATCGCGCGAACTTACCTTGGGTGGAGCCGTGGCCCCCTAGTTCTGACCAATTGGATCGTCTGAGAATTCCAAGGTCTTTCTCTTTCATATCCAACATCGTCGTCGGTATTCATCTTTCGCTGCGTCCATGCAGTCATTCCAGCTCTAAATCCTTAGATTGCAGAGAATCAGCCCGACATGGCCGAAAACTACCTAGTTGGGGAAAGCTTGGCGGCCATTGGCTGCTGGACCTGTAAAGGTTGATGACAAATGTACTTCCTTGCAGCGAATTCGACTGATTCTGTGGTATAGATCGCAGAGTGCGATGTGATCGCCGGTTGCCAGGTTGCCTAAACTGTGCTCGAGTCAGAACGAAATGCCAAGGTTATGGCAAACGCCTCTTCTGGCCCCGAGAAAATGATCCGAAACGGTCGATGATCGTGAAAGTGTTACCGCGGAAGGAGAGTAGAAGTAGACCTTCAAAATTTCACATCATTGATACGTCGTTCCGGGACTTACAAATACACAAGTTCTTGGCAGACCCAAGTACTCGAAGTAACCTCTTCCAAAGAAGGTTGAGTGCCAAGGCATGGCTGACGAGAACACAGGGATGTCCAATCCAGCATGGACTCTACCTGAACAACTCCTTACACCTTACTCGTCATGGAAGCCATACCCATTAGAGGGAAGAGCAACGGAACTAATTCGTTATTGTATGTGCGGCTATCGAATCGCTTACACACACACCAGAGACTAAGTAGCCCGACAGTTACATCCACTGCTTTCTCCTCGATAGTTACTTTTGATCAAGACTCAGGACATTTCCGAGATCTACTAATTCAAATGGCATTATCAGATGGTACGCTAGGCTCTCAGGCAGTCTTGTTTGCCTTGCTTGCCTTTTCTTCGCAGTCACGGGATGGGCTACAGTCGCGAGCCGTGGAGTTCAGGACTTCGGCCATCAGAGCGTTGGCGAAGTCCGCAGGAACTGGTGCTTTGAGCACACACGAGGCAGCTCAACATGTCGCGGCGGGTATGCTTCTATGCTCATTTGAGGTTAGTTGAGGTAACCCACATTGGTAGGCTTGGGATACTAAACCTGCCCAAGATCCTGGCAGCTACAGAAACAAGCGGACAATGGCTTTGGTACATACGAGGAGTCAAAGACATCATCCAAGCTAATCATCTCGAGAATCGAACAAGCACAAGCTTCGTAGCTGAACTGATTGATTGGGCGAATTATCATGATGTGATTGCTCAGTTTAGCGTTCTGCACTGGAGGCATGGTCTAGTGGATACAGCTCTCGCTAAGCAGCACGGCATCAAAGATTGGGTTCGGACTTATACAAAAGGGCCACGAGTAAGTCAACTGATGAGGCTTCTATGAGTAATACTAACACCGTGCTCAGTTGACTGACCGGTCCCGCCCATCTCACCGTATCTTGCAGTTTCTATCAGATATTTTCGACGTACTCATTCAAGCAACCGAACAACGAGACATTACAGAAGACTACATCAATCGCCTTAACATGCTGGAAGGCAAAGCCACCACTATTATGGAGGTTTCTCAGAGATATGGGAATCCATCACCTGAGACAAACCAAAATGCAGCAGATATGATCAGACTATATCAGATGGCAGCATTGATTTATCTTGCACGAGTCACCGAATGTGTGTCTGGGGAGGCCCGGAATCTACAGATTCTCTTGGATGAAGCTTTTTCTACCTTATCTCGGATGGACAGCTGCGAGCTTCAGTTCCCTCTCATCATCTTGAGTTATGAGGCGCGGACTGACGAACAGAGAATGATGATTCTTGACTTAGTCCACAGAACGGAGCAAAATACGTATGGGCGAAGCATAGATTGCTTGAGACAGAGCTTGAAAGCTCTTTGGATACAAGAGGACCTTGTTTCTGATGAAGAATTCGTGCCAAAGTACATGGACAGAGTGAGCACTATCATCAGCTTGACGAGATTTGTTCCTAGTTTAGTCTAAGAATTAGAATCCCTGTATGAAGATATCAATGTTAGAAGTGAGAGATTCTCATACCAATGTACCGTTACTTAATTACCTCGGAGGAAGAAAATCAATCATGATTTGGTCACATTATGAGTAGTATTTGGTACCTTGAGTACTCAGTCATCGAGGCTACCTACCTAGGTAGGTATACTCATTGAGGGAGGCGCCTGTTACTACTACAATTCATACCTCTAGGCGCCCCAACAATTGGAGTTGTTAAGGTACGGAAGAGATGGGAGCATCTAAGACATTCTTCACACTGTCCCCGGGCCCCGCAGTGACTTTGAGCATGAAAGAATGCCCCTCGGGTCACTGTTGGTCACCCGCAGGGCTTGGCCGACGTCGATCCCACTCAGGAGAAATACGAGATTTGACGGGGGAGCTCTGGTTAGCCGGAGACGATGCCTCTCCAAAGGCGATTAAGGTCAGCTTTAGTGTCACCGCAGCGGCGTATTAGGTGCCGCAACCTCCCGTCCGTTCGCTTAAGCCGGCAGCACCGCCACCGTTGCGCACCAAAACTTCTCTTTTGTCAATCCGGTTGACTTATATCCACAGAGTACTCACAACCTCGCAATTACCCCTAGAGCAGGGCAAGGACTCTCAATTGTCTTCTTAAACGCCAGGAGGCTACAGATGGAAGTGCTTGACGCAAATGTAGCAACCATCAATGGGCAGCAGTTTCGGCGCTCGTAGGGACGGGCGGCCAGCGTGCCCCTTTCATAGCCCAGCCGATTGTGCCGGGCGTCGCAGAGTGAGACCTCGGTCAGCTTCACTGGCCACGCTGCCACGGAGCAGCGGGGAGCTGCAGATCTTGCTGCTAATGTGCGCGATACAAGCCGGTATCCCAAAGTATCCGTCGCCCTCATTCTTGTGGGCCAAGCCCCTTACATCGTTTGCCGGCCACTGTAGATGCTACGCTATTCTTAGCCAACGAGCTGCCTGTCCTGCATTCAGCTTCCCTGCTGAACGCTCCACAACCTCCAGCCTAAACCCCCTACAGACGAAGGGCCCATGCCGGTGCGAGACCGTGATGTCACCAACCGGCCACCGTCTGCAAAAGTTCGTTTCTTAGGGGCTTTTACCGGAAAATAAGCGTAGGTTCTGCTCTCGCATCATCGCAGACGCGACTTTGTCGCTAGAAAACGTGGCTGGAATTCAGGGTCGCGGGCGTCGCGTGTCCCCCGCGCCAGAAAAGCCACTAGGGATGATATAGGTGGCTATGAGGATGCTTGCTGAGTGAAGAGACAAGAGACACCTCGCATCATTATGAAATGTCATATGTAAAAGCTGATGAATTGGCCTACGAGAACCGTCACAGCTCATCAGTGGAGTGAGATCCAATTTTTTTTGCAGTGATTTGAAGTTCATTTGATAGCCGTCCTTTCACAAAACGGACCAAACTTCGGCTTACGCTCAGGAGAGAATTGCTGCACGCCTCTTGCGATCGTGAATGATAAGGAAAGCCGACACTCTCGGTCAGACACTAATACATGTGAAGGGAAAAGAATGATGGATATCTACTCATGAAATGAAGCCTCTATGCTGCGTAGATGTCTTTGTCTGATATCTAGGATGGTCGACCACCCATTGCATTCTCAAAGCCCCCAATGCTCTATAGCCACCAAGACGGCCATGGGATACTTCTATCAGTCATTTCTGAGCTAAGCACACCCCTCTTCAGTTTTCTGCACTGAAGTTCAAATACACCCTGCCCTCCCACGGGGCCAAAGTCTCCTGTGTGTAAGACTTCGCCTTGCTATCCTTGCTTGTGCTGATAAGTAATTGCACATCACACTCCTGGCATGATAGGGCCGTAGACACATCTAGGCACTCCTGAGGCTGGTTCGTAAAATTCATGATGGTCAAGGCTTTCCGCTTGCCAGCGCCGTACTTGCCGCCAACAGGAATACAGCTCTCCTTCACATAAGCGAACAGCGCCTCATGGTCCGGAACGAGGTGTCTGAAGGCTCCATGGATAAAAAGATCTCCGTACTGCTTCCGCAGCTTCAGTGCTAGTTTGTAGAAGGCCAACACCGACTCCGGGTCCTGCCTCTGCTTTTTGGCGTTGATCTCGCGGTAGTTGTCGTGAGTGCGCATCCAAGGCACCACGCCTTCCGCCGTAAAGCCTGCGTTCGGCGAATCGTCCCATTGAAATGGTATCCTTGAGTGGTCGCGAGCCAGAATCTGCAGTCCCGCTAGGGTCTTTTGTATCCTCTCCTTGTCCCCTGACTGAACTGCTTCAGAGTAAAAGCCTAGGCTTTCCACATCTTTATACTCCTCAATTCCCCAATTCTTGGGCATGTTCGTCATACCAATTTCCTGGCCCTGGTATAAGAAAAGCGTGCCGGTCAAAGTCACCTGCCACAGCGCCAGTGTCTTTGCACTTGCCGCCCATAGCTCCGGCGTGGTGTCATTTCCGAACCGTGAGACGGCCCTGCCGTTGTCGTGGTTCTCGCAAAAGACTGTGTGCCAGGCATCTGTACCCTCGATAAACACTTGCCATGTCGCCACATGTCTCTTAAGATCGGAGAGAGGGAATGGCTTGTAGAGATATTTGCCATGGAAGGCACCACCAGTTCCGAGACGAATCATACTGAACTCGAATACCATGTCCAACTCCTTCGCGGCAGCAGAGACATACGGTATGACTTGTGATGGTAGCGGGGTATTCGAAAGCTCTCCTACAGAGACAGCTCCGTATGGCTCAAGGACCTTGATATTCATCTCGTGTATGAATTCGTGAATACGGGGTCCGTTGCACCACATTTCCGGGGCAGGCTGTGTGTCCGAACCCTGGAATGTCACTGGCGCATCAGGGAAATCCGTACGTTTAGAGTATTTGTTGACGGTATCAATTCGGAACCCGTCCACACCACGGTCTAGCCAAAAGCGCATGGTGTTGTCGTAAATAGCCTCTCGGCACTCGGGCGACTCCCAATTCAGATCCGGCTGCGAGGTGTCGTACAAGTGTAGGTAATACTCCTGTGTATGCTCATCCCAGGTCCAAGTCGGACCTGCAAAATAGCTCCGCCAATTCGTCGGTGGCATACGTTTACCGGTGCTGTCGTACCGTGCCGGTTTCCAAATATACCAATCGCGCTTGGGGTTGGTTTTGGAGGAACGAGACTCCTTGAACCACTCGTGCTGGTCGGATGTATGGTTTACAACCAAATCCAGGATTAATTTCATCCCTCGGCTGTGGCACGCTTCCACAAGTGTGTCAACATCCTCAACAGTTCCGTACCGTGCATACACCTTTTGATAGTCTGAAACATCATATCCCATATCCTTCTGAGGACTTTCGAACATGGGAGAGAGCCAGACCACATCGACACCAAGCTCGTGCAGATAGTCGATTTCTGATATTACTCCAGGAATATCTCCCCATCCATCGTTATTAGAATCCTTGAAACTAGCGGGGTAAACTTGATAGAAGACAGCATCCTTCCACCATGCTTGTTTGCCAGCCCAATTCGAGCCATTCTGGTAATGCCACTTCAAGTTCATCGTGACTGTGCTTGAGATGTGAAACGCCTCGGAAATAAGGAACGGAGTAAAAGAGAAGGGAGAAATCGGAGGCCGAGGTTGGGAAGGGGAAACGACGGAAGAGTCGTGAGATACCCGAGATCCCGCGTGACCGGAATGCTGAATAAAACCTGTCGGAGTCTACGACGTGGTTGAGAGAATAGGATTGCGAAGGCGCAACTATCGAGCGAAATTTGTTGGTCTCATGGAGTCTAATATTCCCGAACTTCTCCACGAGGACAGACTAAAGAAGGGCTCAGTAGAGACTGTAAGGGTGTTGCCACATGGTTGTGGATCCCGTTGAAGAGAGTTGGAATAACTTGGTCAGCAGATAAGTTGATAAAGTGAACAAACTCCGCCCTACTCCGACGCACTCCGACATCAAATGCCGGTATCAGAGAGCAATTGACCTATCACAATGTCTGATCAAAGCTCCGTCGCAACTCCGACATCCTTGTCCTCGCTTGAGTCCACCCACGTCAGTGCCAAGCTGCTATCACTCCCGCTATTTTGATTTTTCTCGTCTCCAGCTGGGACCCCGTGAGGCCTTCGAGACCCAACGGCGTGGCCCATGGGACAGCTTGACCTCGCCCCGGATACCCGAATGTCTGGATGTGGAGAATGCATGGCGACTTGATTGACCTCGATCTGCTCGCCCGCGTGCTCGAGGGGGAAGTGCTCAACAACATTTTAATCAGAAAATGCAGCATTGACGAGCTGCAGAGAGGCGGACCTACTCCGGCGTAAAGCCACAGTCGTCCGCCAAGCTCGGCTCCCGCAACTGCATCTTGCAGCGATAAGGTGAAGAGTGCCCTGTGAGAGCAGGAAAAGAGGACAAGGTCGTCCATTCTGATCCCTACAATTTCTCTCGTTCGATGACTACCCCGCATAGGGTCTGGCATCTGTTCATGTCCGCCCGCCGCCGCCTCCACATCCCCACAGGGTTGGCTGGATGCGATCCATGCCACACCAATGTGGATCACTTACCCGACTCAGCGCTAAAGCCTTTTCACAAACACCATCGCCCTGGAAGATAAATAAGTCATGATACTCCTGCCAGGTGAAGAGTCATTTCCAGGCTCACACATCCCACCTTTTCTTACTCCATCTCATTTTCCCTCTCCCCGGCCTTTTCGTTTCATCAGCCGTACCACGCCAAACTCTCATCATGGCCGATGAGAAGCGAGCACCGTCCCTTGACCGGGCCGCTGCTCCCAATGTCCACGACGATGTCGTCCTCGTCGAGGCTAAGCATGCCGCCGACACAGAGCACTCCATGTCTCTGCTAAAGGCCATCAAGCTCTACCCCAAAGCCATCGGATGGTCCGTCTTGCTGTCGTCAACCCTGATCATGGAGGGTTACGACTTGGCCCTCCTGGGCAGCCTTTACGCCTCCCCCGTCTTCAACAAGAAGTTCGGTGAATGGAGCGAGGCCAAGGGCAAGTATGCCGTCTCAGCCGCATGGCAGTCTGGTCTCTCAAACGGTGCGCGAGCCGGTGAGATCTTCGGCCTGCTCATCGCCGGTTGGACCGCCGATAAGTTCGGCTACAAGAGGACCACCGTCGGAATGTTGATTGCGATGATCTGTTTCATCTTTGTTCTCTTCTTTGCACCCAACGTCAAGGTCCTGGTTGTTGGCGAGATCCTGTGTGGTATGTCAAACCCATCGCCGTATCATGCCATTCTGCATGAGTCATGAAAATAACAGCGGACTAGGTATCCCATGGGGAGCTTTCCAGAGTGTGACGCCAGCGTATGCCTCCGAAGTTGCGCCCATGGTCCTACGACCGTATCTTACGACATTCATCAACATGTGCTGGGTGATCGGGCAGTTCTTTGCTGCCGCCGTAAACAAGGGTTCCGTCAACCGCAGCGATCAGTGGGCATACAGGATTCCCTTCGGAGTGCAATGGGTGTGGCCTGTCCCAATCCTAATTGGACTCCTCTTTGCTCCTGAGTAAGATCCCCGAAGAATCAGAATAGCCCAATCAGTCAAACTAAGCATTATCCTTTAGGTCTCCCTGGTGGTATGTCCGCCATAACCGGAAGGATGAAGCCAAGAAGTCTCTGCTTCGCTTGACTTCCCGCAACCAGCCTGGATTCAACCCCGATGAGACCATCGCCATGATTGAGCACACCAACGAATTGGAGAAGCAGTTGAAAGAGGGTGTTGGATTCAAGGACTGCTTCAAGGGCATCGATCTGCGACGAACTGAGATCGTTGTCGGTATCTGGCTCGTGCAGACTCTTGGTGGCCAGAACTTGATGGGCTATTTCTCATACTTCCTGTAAGTGCATATTCGAAATGCTCTCTTGCAACCAAATCTAACTTAATTCTTAGTACTCAAGCCGGCATGGATGCTAGCAACTCGTTCTCACTCTCCATGGGTCAATATGCTCTAGGTATGGTCGGTACTGCTGGTTCTTGGTGGCTCATGTCCCGTGTTGGCCGCAGGACGATCCATTTCAGTGGATTATGCGCACAGTTCTGCATCTTGATCATCGTTGGATGCCTGTCATTTGGTACCACCAATGGTTCGGTCTGGGCCATCGGTGCTATGCTCATTGTATTCACCTTTGTGTACGACTTCACTGTCGGCCCGGTGACCTACTGCTTGGTCTCTGAGCTGTCATCTACCCGTCTCAAGGCGAAGACTATCGTGCTGGCCCGCGCTGCGTACAACGCTAGCAACATCTTCGTCAACGTCATGACCAACTACCAGCTCAGCTCTACCGCATGGAATTGGGGTGCACGAACTGCCTTCTTCTGGGCTGGTTCGTGCCTACTCTCTGCCATTTGGGTGTTCTTCAGACTGCCCGAGCCCAAGGGACGCACTTATGCCGAGCTGGATCTGCTCTTCGAACAGCGCATTCCAGCCAGGAAATTTGCGAAGACGAATATCGACCCGTTTGCTCGCGGACTCAGCGGCGGAAAGAAGATGTCGGTTGAGGAGGAGAGGTTCGAGCATGGCGCAAGCAAGGAGGTTTCCCCGTAGATACCAAAAAGCACCAAGACTAATTCAGGTATAATGGCAATCAAATAGCAACACAGTGAAGCGTTGCTTTGCTTCTGAAATTTAAAGGATTTCCTCTTCATACCGACAAGAATCTTTCTTGAGTGTCATGTGAGCCTTCCATGTTTGGATGAGAACTAGGAGCCAAGACCGTACGAAAAGAATACAACCCACAGCATGAACAAAGTTTGCAATTGGCGATTTCCAAAGAGAAAGCTTCTCATTCTATAATTCAAACAAAATCAGCTCATAGGAGCACACAATCATTGACAGCAATGACAAGGCTTGTCCCAAGAAGGCAGCCCCACGTGATCTGCACTAAGGCGTTTTCCCCGGCACTGCGCGATATTCCGACCCCACCACACCGTAGATTCGTCTGGGGTTTGGGCTTAGACCCAGATCCATTGTTTGGCCCTAGTCATGCAAACTTCATGCTGCCCCTCCAGACGCGCTTCGTGATCCCTATCCGATCCAGCCCAGCCCAACCCAACCTTGCGTTTTGCGTCGCTCTTTGCCGTTGTGGTTGGTGAGGAGCGGCTGATTTCCGATCGTCACATTCTCTCACCATGACAGTATACTACTGGTCATGACCTCTGCTCAGCAGCCGGACCTCCCACGAGAGGCCAACGGAAATGCGGAGGAAGCGGACCGCGCCAGGCGGCCCAAGCGTGCCCAAGTTTCCAAAGCCTGCCAGCGGTGCAAGAGGCTTCAGAAAGGCTGCAGCGAATTCCGGCCATGTCAACGCTGTGTCAAGGTGGGGCTCGGCGAGCAATGCGTGAGCAGTGAGGCACAGGCTCATCAACCCGACCCGGCGGCGGCGTGGTCCTTCACCCGGCTGCCGACAAGTCCGCAGAGCTATGTGAGCGGGCCATTGGAGTCTTTCCAGAGGCAGGCCGAGCTGCTGCCTTCGCCGGTGATTGAGCACTGCTGCCGAAAGTTCTTCTCAGAGCTGTATCCGACGATCCCGATCTTGACCCCCGAGTTCGTCGGGGGTCTTAGTGTCGTGGCGGAGTCTCGAGATGAAGGCAGCGAAGCGCATTGCATAATTGCTGCCATGTGTGCGATGGTGCTCTTGCAGGTCGAGCAACCGGACGCACAGTCGTTCGAAACTATTATTGCACATAATAATGCTATGTATGGCAAACTAGTTTTCGACGAAGCATTGGCTGCTTACCACCACCTGTCGCAACGATTGGTTCCGACCTTGGAGAGAGTGCTCAGTGCATTCTTTCTCTATGCCTGCCACGCGGTGCAATTTCACCATAGTCAGGCTTTCTTCTTTCTCCGAGAAGCCACGACACTCTTCCTTCTGATGCGAACCGACGAAGATGACGTTACAAGAAAGAATCTAATCGAGAGGCTATTTTGGGTCCTCCTTGTTTCGGAAAGATCACACGCCATCAGGTACAGGCGGCCGGTCACGCTTCAGATTAACTCTAGCAGCCCAGAGCCGCATAACGATGTTCAACTGTCAGGGCTGTGGAGTCTCGTCGCATTGTTCAGACCCCTGGACACATCGTTCATTGCTCTGCTCAATCAGGAATCTGTGGTGTTCCCACCGACCCAGTCGTCGGTCACTTACATTGAGACTGCTATCAGCACCGCTCTTGATCGGGTAATCGGGCTTCAGGATACTCAAATCGCCAATCTGAGGACCACACAGCTTTGGCTGCAAATCATTATCTGGCAGGTTCGCTTACGACTCGGTTTCCTTACAGAACAGTCAGACATACCGAGCTTGACATATCATTATCCTCTTGATATAGCTAGCCGTCTGGTGGACTCTGCTCGGGCGATGCCCATTTATAGCCTCCGAGTACACGGTGTGGGACTCACTGAAAAGCTATTTGACGTGGCATGTGCCGTGGTGGACGTTCTCGCTCGGATTCCAGTGGGGAGATTGGCTCAGCAATATGTTAGCAACAGACCCGAGGACGACCTGCATTATTTAAGGCTTCTCATATCAGAACTACCCGGTGGAAAGTCTATATACAATTCTTTGTTGGACAAGCACATGCAGCAAACTTTACCGAGCCTTGTTTTAGATTCACCAGATGGGCGTTAAGTAATATCTAATCAGAAAAGTTTATTGTTTAACATGAAGAACGCAGCTTGTACTTGAGTATGTAGATCAGCGTTCGCGTTTTTGGCTATCGTTTGGAAGCAAGGCGCTTGAATGAAGACCTTCGAACGGTTGTTTCCAGGTCCCAAAAGTCTCCTCCGAAACGGTCGTGGCATTCAAGATACTTAGTACACATAACGGAAGTTCTGGTTCTGGATGTCAGTCAACTCCACCGGCTGCTCCAAGTTCGTTTCCTTTCCATCCTCATCAAGATCAGTAGTTGCGGTGGTGGCTGGCCCATGTAGTCGATCACGTCTCGCATTCTCCCAGCGCCAGCACAGAGCAAGCGTCAAAATGAGAACAATTGCGACAGCGAAGCAGACCAGGATTGACAAAAAGCCGCTCTAGAGTAGAGAACCGTGTGTGGTTAGCGAAAAGCGTCATGGCGATGCCAAAATGCAAATTTGTGCATTGAAGGGATCAGAGGAGACGCAAGTCTTACCTGATACTTTGGCGCCTCACGGCTAAAGAAGAAGAACGGCCCCAAGATGTTACCAGTACAATACGCAACAAACATCATGGCGCCAACAGTTGCCTTCTTCGTATAGCCTGCTACATTTGACGACACCATCGACAACGTCAATGGGATGCCCGCAGCATACGCGACGAAGATGAAATATCCGAAGAGGCGGGCGCCCTGATTCTCAGTCGTGTATATTATGAGGCACCCGATAAAACTGCCACCACACAATCATTTAGTCAGGAATGATAACTTTAAGTCAAAAAGACTCAGGATAGGATGTAGCTTACGCGACAAAGGTACAACCAGCAGTCAGAAGGCAGCGGCCAGTGGGGAACTTGCCTGCCAAGAATGTGCTTCATACATCGTCAGCTCAGTCACATACACAAGGAACGAGTGCACACTGTGCATAACCTGGCGCTTTCTTACCTTCCGATGCTGAAAAATGCATGCACCGCTCCTTGAGGCATTGATAGGAGATAGACCTGCAGCGTCGTGAAACCAAACCCGGCCATAACGAGAGAACCAAACTTTCAGAGGAGGGCACGAAGTTAGTCATAACAATTTAGTATAGCATCATTATAAAGGGTTAGAATCCGAGACTTACTGTTGTCAAGCCTCCATTTGGGATATTATTGGCAATTTGGTAAAAGAACAGGATCCATATCTTATAATCGCTTAGTGCTTCCCGAACTTGGTCCCACTGGATTTTATGATTAACAGCGCCGGCTTGATTTGTTCTGATTCGTTCAACTGCTTTGGAGCGTTCTTCCTTGGTTAGGAACCGGGCGGATGTGGGCTGATCTGGAAGAAAGATGAACAGCAGTACGGCCCAGATCAATGTGATGATAGCATAGATGATGAAGAGCCACTATTTCAAATTCTATATTAGCTCTTTAGATCTTTGCTCTTATTTAGGAGGAGTAACTGACCTTCCAGGAAGCAAGTCCACCATGGATATGCGCAATCGCATAAGCCAGTAGGCCCCCGATAGCCGAAGCAGCTGAATTGCCGGTAAACCATAAGCCATGGCGCAACGGTTGTTCCTCTCGACGGTACCACATGCCCGTGATCAAGCTGAAACCTGGGGAGACCGATGACTCGGCGGCACCGAGGAAGAAGCGAACAATTAGAATGCCGGTAAAGCTTTTAGTCGCGGCATGACATGCCAGAATCACCCCCCAGATTAGACTAAGGCGAATTGATGTGTTAGTAATGGAGATTCCGGCAAGTTCAGATGGTGATATTAGGAAATAAAGCACTGACAAGTTGAGAGCTAGGTATTTGCCAATCGGACACCGCACCATCAAGAGAGACGCAGGATATGAGAAAGCTAAATAGCCAAAGTAGAACATCGAGCCAGACCAAGAGAATTCGTTGCCTTTAAGATTCTGTATTTCATTTCATGGCAGTCAGTCATCGACTACGTCGTCTCGACTTTCATAACAGAACAGGGACACTTACCAAGTCTTGGATAATTCCCATGATCGAAGCCTGAGCCAGTGTCTGCTTATCCAAGAACTGAATCATGTATGAAGTGCACATCAAAGGTAACAAACTGGACCCAATTGATTAGAATGAATCTATCACAAAGACCTTTGACAACATTAAATTCTATCTATTATCGAGTAGACTTACTGCCAGTCGATTTTCCGGAGTAGTTTCTTGGACCACGGTTGAGTCTCCATCTCTAGATCCAGCGTGGTTAGTGGAGTTGATCTGTCTGTCAGATCGTGAACAACGCCCTCCCCTAAGTCGGCAATTTCGAGAGAGTTTTTGCCCATCTTGTCCTTCATGATTGAGAATTCAGGTTATCTGGTGAATGCGGATCTTGAGTAGAATAGAAGCTGCGTTGACATCTGGTCATCTCGCAATGATTCATGACTTTCTATCTAGGGATCACAATTGATATATAATGTTGTCAGAACCGATCGGAGCTGCGCGTGTCGTCTTCCATCCTCGAACGATCTCCACACCTTATCAGTGGGTGCGATCTAGCTTGATGCACCTGCTTAGCGCACTTGTCACTCCTGTTAGCTCTGTCGCGAAAGAAGAACCAGTCACAGAGTGAGTTTTAGCCTTGGTAGATTGCGCTGATTGGCTGTTTCGGCAAATGTGGTCTTGAAAAGGATTAAAACCTTTAGAGATAAGATAAGGCTTTGCGCGAGAATTGATATTATGTACTCCATACGCCTCGCAGCATGCCATTTGCCTCCTGATATCGATGCCACGTAAAGCCTATCTTCCCGATGTAAGAAATCTTACAATGAAACCTTCACTCCCGTTCATAAAACCCGCATTGTGGCGGAGTCTAGACTTACAACACAAGTGCCTCAATTACCGAAGATAACGGAATTGTCAACCCCAGAGCATGGTGAAAGCACGTTCGCCTTCAAGGGT